CCAAGGGCACCTGGAGGGGAATCTTAGTATTGCACTGCCTCCTCCCAGTGTCTGCCCTGCCCCCACCACTTGCTGGACGACACCCCAAAGGAAGAGGAAATGCTGACCCACCCTCAGCCCCGGTATTTTAGTCCAGACCACCCCTGGGCTCCTGGCTGAAAACTTTTGTGGGGAAAAAAAAAAAAAAACTTCTCCCTAGAAGTTAAACGAGGATCCAACTTGGGCAGTGGCAGGGGCCATAGGCTTTGGTCTCTTCCTCCAGCTGGGCAGCAGGCCTGGGGTCTTGGAGAGCTCAGCGGATATGACTGAGAGCAAAAGGAAGCCTGCTCCCAGGATGTCACAATTTCCTCTGCAGTGAGCAAGCAGTTCTGGGGGCGGGAAAGAAGTGGTGGGTAGGGCGGCTCCAGCCGGCTTGTGTGGCCTGTCATAGACATGGGTCACACAGGAGCCTAGAACGAATCTGATCATTCTCACGACTATGCCGGGCAGCTGCCAACACACTGAGTCCTGAGGAGGGTTGGGCTTTGGGCTCCCCCTGCACAGGTTGGGGTAGAGGGGTCAGGAGAAGTTCTGGGAGAAGGTAGCAGAGAACACTTTTGTAATCTAGGCTGCCTGTGGTCAGCAGGTCTGAGCCATCACCTTGTCCAACTGCCAGTAGACCGAAAGGGAAACTGAGGCACAGGGATGCAGATACTTCTGGACCATCACTCCAGGCTTGGTGCCGTCTTTGCAGGTGGTAGTAGAGATTTTCCTGGCATGTGACTCCTCCCTCCCTCCCCCACCCCTGCCATCAGACTGCTTTCTACGGGAACCCCCAACATTGTCCCCGAGGTTGATAACTTCCCCTGTCTTGTGGCCGTAAGGCATGATGTCTGCTTTTTCCTTCTGGAGATTGACACAGATGGCAGCTCGGTGAGGGGATGGGGGCTTCTGGGTGTAAATGGGGGTGTCCCCAGCTGGTACAGCTTGGGCTCTGAGGGAAGTGCCTCAGAAGGGAAAAGAGTGTGGCTAACCAGGGAACTAGTTAGTCCTCATCCTCACCCTGCAGTCAGCAGCCTCCCTCCAAGCCGTGCAGGGGGCCTGGGCGAGGTGAGTCACTTCCAGGGCCAGATGCAGGTCCTGAGAAGTGGCCTCTGCCCAGCGTCTGTGCAGCCCGACCACACTCCCGGCTGTACAGCCTCCCACCCTCACCGGACTCATCCAGTTAGGACCTGTGGGGACTCACTGGGCATGAGAATAGAGGGCCTAGCAGAGCTGTGGGAAGCAGGGTGGTGCCAAGGCAGGCCTCCTGGAGGAGACACTCCCTAGAGACACAGTAAGCACAGTGGTTGTGCCTGGAACTCCTGCAGACACGGAGCTACTGAAGAGCCCTTAAAACCCTTAAAGATGCCAGAGTGCCGCTCTTCACAGTGATGGCTTCTGGCGGGGGTGGGGAAGGACCGAGTTCTCTTTAAGGGGCCGGCCATTGGGCTTTGACAGTGCTCCAGCGAGTATATGAGTATATGCACAACACAAATCGGACTTGAGGGGGTTTTGAGGGGGTGGAGCTGGGAGGAGTGGGAAGCGAGTGCGATGGTGTGTTGAATGAATTTTTCAAATAATCAACAAAAATATTATGTTGGTGGGGAAGGAAGCAGTAGGGGTTGGCCAGGTGGACAAGGTGGAGGCTGGCCTGTGGGTGCCTGGCCTCCGGGGGTGGGAGGGGGAGCTTGGATGAGTTGCAGGGTGCTAGATCAGCGGCTTAGTTACTGTTCTCTTGCTTCGAGGAGACATGACGGAGGCAGCTTACAGAAGGGAGCATTTAAACCCAGAGGCTTACTTACAGTGTCAGGGTGGGAGTGGGGGGAGGAACCGAGCCTGATGTCGGCCTTTGAAACTCCAACGCTTATTCCCAGCAACACACCTCTTTTGAGCAGGCCACACCCAATCCTTCCCAAACAGTGCATTAACCGAGAACCCAGCATCCAGACTATGGGGCCCAGTCTCATTCAAACCACCACAGTCTGGCTGGCTGCATGGGGGCCAAGCCCATGGTGCTGCCCCTTGGGCAGGGCCTTCGGTTCCTCATCCCTAGGTCCAGGAGGGTTTTACTGTCAGCTGGAGAGTCGCAGCCTCAAGAGAAAGACCCTTCTCTGCTGGTGGTGTCCTTCACCACGCCCCCCCCTTCTCTTGCTGCCTGACCCTCCCCCCTTGGTGGGTAATGCCAAGCTGATGCCCTCTCCCCGCAACCTGGTTCCAGGCCAAGTTGAGGAGCTTGTGTGGAGGCCCCAGGTGAGGCTGTTGTCTTGGAGTTGTCCCCAGGCAGAGTCCTCATGTGACTGCCAGCGCTCCTCAGAGTCTGCCCTTCCCCAGGAGTCCTCCGTCTGTGATCTCAGAGGGCTGTGGGACAGGACTCCTGTGGTGATGGCTGGTGCCAAAGCCGAGATCACAAGTCGGTCCCACTTAAAGAAGAAGTAATGACCTGGACCAGCTGCGCCACCTCCCCACCTGAGGCTCAACATTGGCCTCACAGTACAGCCTGCAAAGCATAGAAGGGCCTGCAGGTGGGGTCAGAGAGGGGCTTATAGTAGCCCCACACCACCACAGTTTCCAGTTCTCCCTCCCTAGGCAGTCTCCGGGCAGCCCAGGCCTCTGCCAATCATGCATTGAGAATCACTAGGATGCCAGGCCATGGCTCCCTCCACGAGAGACTCCCCAGGTGGCCTCGCACCTACTGTCAGCTGGCCTGAATCCTAGCTGCACCCCCTCCCTGCTTCGTGTGCTTGGGTAAGGAAATCCACCCCTCTGAGCCCCATCGCCCCTCTACAAATCAGAAGCATGGTAACCGCCTCTTGGCAGGATTTGAGGGACAGTGAATGCACAGGCCTGGCACCAATCTTGCCCAGACACTGCCACTTCCCAGTTGCTCCTGGGGCTCACACCAAGGAGGGCCTTCTGCTCCCCTGCTCTGTTAATAATATATGCCTGCACAGGGCTTTCCAAAACACAGACACCATGCTGTTCTCTTTCATATGGTTAACATTACGTTGGGTGGGTTTTATGTCAGTAAATTACTGAGGAAAAAACAAAAACAAACAAAAAAATGGTAGAACAGGTCCCAGTCGCTGTTACGTTGGGTGGGTTTTACGTCAGTAAATTACTAAGGAAAAAACAAAAACAAACACAAAAAAAATGGTAGAACAGGTCCCAGTCGCTTGAGCGCTGCCCTAGTGTTGGGCTGACTAATGGAAAATAAATGTTTTGTTTTTGTAATCCTGGAGGGCCTCCTACATAGACAGCAGGCACCATACGCCTGAGCTACAGCCTCCCTCTTTTCTTTCTCTGTGGATGTGTGCGCCTGTGTGTCAGCGGAGTTTGTCTGTGAGGGCATGGCCATCACGGCGCGTGTGGAGGTCAGAAAACAGCCTCAGATGTCAGTCCTCGCCGCCTGCGTCGTTTGGGGCAGGGTCTCCCTGTGTGCACCGGGCTAGCTGGCCCTCAGGCTTCTTGAAGGTCTTCTGTCTCGCTGGAGGTGTGCTGGGATTACAGGTGCTGCTGTGGTTGGGGCCACATGGGTTCTCCACACTTGCATAGCAAGCACTGTGTCTATTAAGTCATTCCTAGCCCCAGCCCTTCCCCCGTGTGTGTGTGTGTGTGTGTGTGTGTGTGTGTGTGTGTGTGTGGTATGTATGTGGTGTATGTGTATTTGAGCCTGCTGGCACTCCAGCATATGAGCCTGAGCCTGCCAAAGAATAACTTGGGTGTCCTTCCTCAGGGATCATATACCTTTTTTGGTTTTTGTTTTATTTTGGTTTGGTTTGGGTTTTTTGTTGTTTAAGATTTATTTATTCATTATGTATACAGTGTTCTGCCTGCATGTGTGCCTACAGGCCAGAAGGGGGCACCAGATCTCACTATAGAGCCATGTGGTTGCTGGGACTTGAACTCAGGACTTTTGATAGAACAGCCAGTGCCCTTGATCTTTGAGCCATATCTCCGGCACCCCCTTTTTTGTTTTTAGATAAGGTCTCTCAGTGTCTCGGAACTTGGCCAAGCAGGCTCAGCTGGCCCACCAACACCCCCATGGACCTCTTCCTGCCTCCATCCATCCAGGGCTGGGATTACAAGTCCCAGGCCACCATGCCCAGCTCTGCTGACATTCCTGTTTTGAATGTGGGTACTGGGCATCAAACTCAGGTCCCCATGCTTGTATGGGGAGCACGTTAGGACTGAGCCTGCTCCCCGTCCCCAGGAAGAAAATCTTAGTCAGAAGACAGGCTTAGGTAGATGGAGCAGCTGGTGAAAAGTGAAAAGTTCTTGCCATTGGGGCTGGGGAAATGGCTTAGTGGTTCAATTCTCAGCACCCACGTGGCCGCTCACAACCATCTGTAACTCCAGTTCCAGGGGATCCAACGCCTTTTTCTGGCCTCTGTGGGCACAGGCATGCGTGTGGTGCACAGGCTACATGCAGACAAAACACCCAAACACATTTTTTTCTGAAGTGTTTCCCACACAAGCCTGATGACCTAAGTTGGATCCCTGGCACCCACGATGGAAGGAGAGCCTAAATTAAAAAAAATTAAAAAAAAAAACTGATGATTCCTGAACTTGTGAATTAAAGAAATGGTGAACTGGGAGTAGTGACACGCGCCTGTGATCCTAACGCTGAGGAGGCACAGCAGAAAGATCAGGAGTTCAAGGTCATCCTCAGCTACATAGCAAGTCCAAGGCCAGCCTAGACTGCAGGAGACCTTATCACTAAAGGTTAAAATGCTTTTTGAAAGTGATGTTATAAACAGAATAGGGACAGAGCTTCATGGCTGGCTCCAGTCAAGCCCTGGACCAGAAGGACCACGTCTGTGAGTGTGACAGGTTCCCTCGCTACCTGAACCTTGCTGGCTCAGCACTGTGAGGGGCCTCACTCTGGGTCTCCTGCCCCTCCTGTGGGAGACTGAGGTGGGGAAAACGGGAAGGTTTGGAAGTTGGCCTGCCCCCTCTAATCTGTCCTTCTGTTCTCAAAGGTTGGCGTGCTAAGACAGCCACCGTGCCTGACCCACGGCCATCTGTCAGTCCATCTGTCCACCTGGACCCCAGGCGACCCAGAGAGCGAGGAAAGCAGTGGGGCATGGTGTAGCGGCCTCCAGCAAGCGGAGGAAGCCCTGTCCCTGCACATCTGAAGGTAAGGATGCTGGCGGGGGAGGGGGCAAAAGCACTGCTCCCTGCTTGTTTGGTTCAGACTCAGAGATGAACACATGGCCAGAGAGGTGGCCGGGGGCTGCTCCGGCAGCAGGAAGTGGCATCCAGGCTGAGGCCGGAAGCTCCTCTCTGTGATCAGAGAAGACTGACCAGAGCAGACAGAGGCCCAGCATCTGTGTGTGTGTGTTCCATGAGCAGAATCTGCATTTTTGTTTTTTTTTTTTTTTTTTTTTATCTAAGAGAGGTCTTTTGGGGACTTATGGGCAACAGATGGAGGGGTCGGGAGAGCAGGCTGGCTGTGGAGAAAGGTAAAGGTGGAGAAAGCTAGGGAACTGGAGCGATGGCTCGGCAGTTTAGAGCACTTTTTTTACAGAGGACCTGTAATTCCCAGCATCCACAAGGTAGCTCAGAACTCTCCATGACTCCAGTTCCGGGGGATCCATAGCCCTCTTCTGACCTCCATGGGCACCAGGCATTTGCATCGGGCAGTTACTATACATGCGTAGCCACCGGGCATGCGCAGTGTACATATCCACAGGCACACAGAACACTCACACATGAGATAAATAAATCCAAAAAAGAAAAGAAAAGGCTACAGAAGGCTGGAAGTTGGGGCTTCATGTGGTGGCTGTCCAGCACTGCCCATCGAACTTTGCCCATCATTGACCCCTACCGAGCTTCCCAGAGCTGTAGGGAAAGAAACAGACAGCAGTGCCTCGGAGACATCACAGGAAACGGGGTTCAGAGGCCCAAACAGGAAAAAGTTTCCTAAAAGGGTGAATGACCAACTCATCCAGGTCCACGCTTATCTCAACCCAGCCTCCCACTTCCAGAACTTTGTCTTCATACACACACACACACACACACACACACACACACACAGTGTTATTAGCCCTCGACAAAACACCCTCTGTAACTAGCAATCAGGAATTGACTCCTGGCATGTTCCATTTAGTAAGGTCTTTTCTGCCATCAAAGAAGGCAAAGATGTCGGTCTGTGTGTCCCCAAGGGAAAGATGTCCACACCAGACCAGAGAACTTCAGCTGTTTTAAAAGCCTATGCTGTTTCTAGGACCAGAGAGGCTTCCCTGAGGGACAGCCCCAAGTTTAGTTCCCACTTTGCTGTGCTCAGTCTTTCTGGCCAGTGAGTGTGAGTGAGTCACCTTTATTGTTTAAATATTTTGCCACCATCACGTCACTGTCTCCGGGTCAGGAATGTGGCTTATTTGGGAGAGTGCTTGATCCGGCAGTACCACATATACCGGACATGGCGGCACATGCTTGTAACCCTAGCGCATGGGAGGGAGAGGCAGGAGAATCAGGAGTTCAAGGTCACCCTTAGATACACAGCAAGTTCAAGGCCAGCCTGGGATGAAACCCTCTCTCTTTCTCTCTTTCTCTCTCTCTCTCTTTTAATATTTATTTATTTATTTATTTATTTATTTATTTATTTATTTATTTATTTATTTATTTATTTATACAGTATTCTGCCTGAATGCCAGAAGAGGGCACCAGATCTCATCATAGATGGTTGTGAGCCACCATGGTGTTGCTGGGAGTTGAACTCAGGACCCCTGGAAGAGCAGCCAGTGCTCTTAACCTTTGAGTCATCTCTCCATCCCCCTGAAACCCTCTCTTAAAGGAAAGAAGAAAATGAGGAATGCTAGCCTAGTGACATTTTTCAACTATCTTCCTCTTTTCTCCCCTCCCCTCCCCTTCCTTCCTCTCCTCTTCTCTTCTCTCCTCTTCTAACAGATGTAGTCCAGGCTAGCCTAGTCCAGGCTATCCTCAAACTCAGAATCTTCTCTCCTTGGTCTTCCAAGTGCTGGGCTCACAGGCTTATACCAGCTACACAGAGGCCTGTTTATATTACATGGCTGGCCTTGAACTCCTGGGCTCAAATGACCCTCCCTCCCTCAGCTTCTCGAGCAGGTGTGCGCCATTAGAAGGCTTCCCCACTTAACTCTGAGGGGGAACTAGGCAGCCTTGCGGTTCCGGGGGCCTGCATGGTGGGTTTCTCATCCTTCTGGGAATTAGGCTGAACAACCACTTCCTGTGCATGACTCAAGGCCTGCTTCCGCAGGAGACACACCTGCCCTCCCGAGGCGACCCCTGCCCTGTCTGCCCAGCAACGCTGAGAGCGCCTTATTGGCAGTAGTGCGCCTGGTTGTGTGGAGTGCTCTTGTCCCTTGAGCCTTCCCCTAGAGAAAAAGGAAGGGCTCTTTGTCCATGCCCACACTGTGGCCCCTGGCCTGCTCTGACCACACCCACACTTATCTTTCTGCTTCTTTCGTCCTCTGGTTTTCATTGAAGCAGAGAGACCAGAAAGGGACTAAGGCAAGAGTCAAGATCTGAAATGCAAATGAAAGTCAGAAATAGACCCCAAGGTCCTCCACCCAGCCCAGGTGTCTGGAGCTTAGTCCGAGGCCACGTGGGCCAGCACGATGCTGGGCTGCCTTCCCTGGTGTCAAGCTCCCCACTCCCTCAGGCCCTGCCGCCTCTCTCTATGCCTGTGCTGCCCTCCCCCCATCTTCCTTTTAGCATCGTGCCCACCATGGCCTCAGCTGACAAGAATGCCAGCAGCCTCCCATCTGCGTCTGGTAGCCGCCTACAGAGCCGGAAGCCACCCAACCTGTCCATCACCATCCCACCACCAGACGCCCAGCAGCCCCCCTGTGAGCAGGACAGGATGCTTCCTGAGGTGAGAGCTGGAGGCCCCCTGCCCCGCCACAGGCAATGCACGTGCCCTTCCGGGTATTTGCGCTTCTTAGACACACCCTTCTGTCACAGTGTACTGACCGCCCTGCAGCCTGAACGCAGACCTGACATACTGCAGGGTGCAAGGCTTTGAACTCTGAAACTTGGGAGCTCTGTTGCCTGGTAGCCAAGGGACAAGGAATACGGTCCTTGAAAAAAGGCCTTGTTGGCAGGCCTAGGCTCTGGCTTGTTCATGTGTCCCCTCCCTGGCCTCTTCTGAGGTGGTGTGGGCTGTCTGTGGTGGCCTGAGTGGGCACAGGGTCCCACAGTGCCAGCAGCCCACTCCTGTAGTGCCTGGCTCTTGGAGGGATGGGGTCAGAGTTTCTGTCCGTCTGAACTTCTGTCCCATAAAGAGCTCATTGAGAACAGGCCCCCAAACAGCGTGGGCTTTGCACGCAGCTGGAGACATAAAGGGGAGCTATGTTGGGGCCGCCCGCTCACCCCGAGAGCTCTGTACGACACGTGAAAAGAGGCAGGACTGGATCATGGGCAGAGCATGTACGGGGAGGATTGCTGGGGTCAGTGGAAAGCTTTACGTGTTCTGTTTGTTGAGACAGGGTCTCACGCAGCCCGCGTTGGCCTCGAACTTGAACTTGTGATCTTCCTTACTCTACTTCCTGAGTCCTGGGTTTGCAAGTGTTTCACCACTGCACCTGGTGTGTAGAGCGGGGGCTCACACCAGGCCGTGTGCATGCTGGGCTGGCACTCCGCCGACCTGAGCGGCATCCCTCGAGCTTGCTTTTAAGTTCAGAATGAAGGCAGTAGGGATGGGAAGTGGGGGGTGGGAGGGCTTGCAGCTCAGTGGTCTAGTGTTAAAGTGGCCTAGCACGTTAAAGGGTCTGGGTTCTGCCCCCCAACACTGCAGTGAAAAGGAGTTGGGGGGGAGGTGCCCAGGACAGCAGCTGGAAAGTGAATGGGCTCTACAGTCAGCTCATGTCCTCCCTGCCTGCCCACAGAGGCCCAAGAACCCAGCCTACCTGAAGAGCGTCAGCCTCCAGGAACCCCGGGGACGATGGCAGGACGGTGCGGAGAAGCGCCCCGGCTTCCGCCGTCAGGCCTCTCTGTCGCAGAGCATCCGCAAGTAAGCTCCTGTGCCCTGCCTGGGCACCCCAGCATCTGAGCTCCTGTGCCCTGCCTGGGCACCCCAGCATCTGTGTACCCATGCCCTGCCCGGGCACCCCAACAGCCTGCACGTTCTGGGCAGCTGGTCTTTGACAGGGCCGGAGCCCTGTGTCCCCTTTCCAGAAGGTGTAGACAGTCTGAGCGGCAGCTCCCGGGGGGTGCCAGAATCCAGGGTGCTGGCGTAGACGGGAAGCAGGCTCCGGGTGCTCGCCGACAGGAAGGCTCACGGCCTGCCGCAGGGGCGTCCAGGTCTGCCCTCCTGGTGCAGCCTTCACGCTCAGCCTGGTCATCGGCTGTGGCCGGGCCTCACAGGTGCTCGGGGAAGGCTGGTTCCCCAGGGCCTGACACACACTTGCATCACCGTCACGTCACCTCTACCCACACACACACACACACACACACCGCCGCCCCCATAACACCTTTCCTAAATGCACCGTTGCCTCCCATTACCGGACACACATGTCCCCCCAACTCACACATACCATTCTACACTGTCAGCTTCCAGCACACACATGTGCTGTCCCCAGTGCCACCTCCTTTAAACACTCGCTCCTTCCTTCACCCCTCACCTCTGCACACTCGCTCCTTCACTCTCTCCTCTGTGCACCTATGCACCTCATCATCCCCCTCCTCCCCCGGACACACACACGCACCCGGACAAGCTGGTGCACAGGCTTCCGCTCATGCGTCTGTCCTGCAGGGGCGCGGCGCAGTGGTTCGGGGTCAGCGGCGACTGGGAGGGCAGGCGGCAGAACTGGCAGCGCCGCAGTCTGCACCACTGCAGTGTGCACTATGGCCGGCTCAAGCCCTCGTGCCAGAGAGAACTGGAGCTGCCCAGCCAGGAGGTGCCATCCTTCCAGGGCACCGAGTCTCCCAAGCCCTGCAAGATGCCCAAGGTGGGCTCCCTGGAGGTGGGGGCGGGTGAGCCGCTCTCCCAGGGCCTGGGCAGCTTTGCTCACCCACCGTCTCTTGCAGATTGTGGATCCGCTGGCCCGAGGTCGGGCCTTCCGCCACCCAGACGAGGTGGACCGGCCTCACGCCCCCCACCCACCTCTGACTCCAGGGGTCCTATCCCTCACGTCCTTCACCAGCGTCCGCTCTGGCCACTCCCATCTGCCCCGGCGCAAAAGGATATCTGTTGCCCATATGAGCTTTCAGGCCGCCGCCGCCCTCCTCAAGGTGAGGCCCGTGTGGAAGGGTGTGTGTCCCTATCCATCGATGCCACTCGGCTCACCTGCGTGTCCGCCCTCCGAGTCAGAGCTGGGAGTGTGTACGTACCCTAAAGCCCAGGGATACCTGTGTGCTGTAGGCCCGGTTTCCCGGCGAGCCCCTCACCGCCCCTTTGTTTTGGGAAGCAGCTTCCTATGTTTATGGGAGGAGTGACCAGAAATAAAGGGTCAGACTGGTGGGCAAGGGCCTAAGGGGCATGGCCCCAGACTTGAGCGTGATCTAAAGAATGTGGGTGCCGTGAGTGTTGGAGTGCTGGCCACTCACAATAGCAGGCAAGAGGCTGTGAGGGGAGAGCTGGAAAGAGGCTACGAGGGCCAGCTGCAGCGGAGCCCCTTCTGGGCCCCCTGCTGGGAGCCGTTCCTTCAGCCCGGGCACTCTTCAGATGCTCCGAGCCTTTGCCAACCCACACGCTGTGCCCCTTTGGTCCTGGGGTGCTGGGTCCTCCTTGATGCTTGTGTCCCATGCTCAGGGGCGCTCAGTGCTGGACGCCACGGGACAGCGGTGCCGGAATGTCAAGCGCAGCTTCGCGTACCCCAGCTTCCTAGAGGAGGACGCCGTGGACGGAGCAGACACCTTTGACTCCTCCTTTTTTAGTAAGGCAAGCATGGGGTGTGGAGTCTCTGGGCAGGGGTTGGGGAGGCCTGGAGCCTGGGAAAAAGTGACCATGGCCTTGGCTTTGTCATGCCAGGATCCCTGATGCAGACACAGGATGGGGTGGGTCCTCCGTGAGCACTGAGCTGGGCTCCCGGAGAGGGGCATATGGAGTGGGGCATGAACCCACCGGCAAAGTCACTCCAGGGATGGCGAGCATGTGGCTCATTCCATCGTGGAGAGGGTGCTTGGGACAGTAGCTCCTTACCCTGCCTTTGGTGCCCTCTCCAGGAAGAAATGGGCTCCATGCCCGATGACGTGTTCGAGTCTCCTCCGCTCTCTGCTAGCTACTTCCGAGGTGTCCCGCGCTCTGCCTCCCCGGTCTCCCCTGATGGAGTGCAGATCCCCCTGTGAGTGCAGGGTGGGAACTCCCCAGTGCCCAGCGGCCTCTGCTGAGCCCCGGCAGGGTCCTCAGGCTGAGAGCCTTTGTCACCACCAGAAAAGAGTACAGCAGCCGAGCCCCAGTTCCCGGGACCCAGCGCGGCAAGCGCATCGCCTCCAAAGTAAAGCACTTCGCGTTTGACCGGAAGAAGCGGCACTACGGCCTGGGCGTGGTGGGCAACTGGCTGAACCGCAGCTACCGCCGCAGCATCAGCAGCACCGTGCAGCGGCAGCTGGAGAGCTTTGACAGCCACCGGTGAGCCCCAGGCACCAGCCTGAGCAGAGAACCATTTCCAGAGCTCCAAACCTCGGGGGGGGGGGGTCCTCGCCCCAGACATGGCCCCGGTCTCCTTCAGTAACGGTTTCCAGAGCGCCTCTTGCAGGCCAGGCCTGGTATGACACACTCCAGGGCCCAGCTGTGCTCAGGGAGCAGCCGGTAGCCTGGAAAGGGCCCACAGCTGTCTTATCTTCAACATGGCTCCCAGACAGCAGTCAGTCAGCAAGCACAACTACACTCAGGCTCTAGGACACAGCCCTTAAGAAGGGCATTGTGCATGGGCAGACTGGAGCTGGCAAGAAGGTATAATGAGACCGGTGACCCGAGTTTCATCCCTGAAACCCGTATGAAGGAGGAATGAAAGAACCAAATCCACACAGTTGTCCTCCGACCCCCACATCTGCATCATGCACACACAAATAATAACATTTAAAACAAGATTTATTATGTATATAGTGTTCTGCCTGCATGTGCGCCTGCAGGCCAGAAGAGGGCACCAGATCTCACTCTAGATGGCTATGAGCCACCATGTGGTTGCTGGGAAATGAACTCAGGACCTTTGGAAAAACAGCCAGTGCTCTTAACCTCTAAGCCATATCTCCAGCCCCCTAAAACATTAACTTTTAAGCCCAGCATAGTAGCACATGCTTCTAATTCCAGTGTTCAGGAGGCAGGAGTAGACAGAGCTCTGTGAGTTCAAAGCCAGCCTGGTCCAAATAGTGAGTTCCAGCCAATGCTCTGTAGAGAGACCTTATCTCAAAACAAAAGAAGTTAAAACAGAACAAAAGGAGTTGGAGCCTGGGGCAAGCTGGGCACTGGAGAAAATGAGATCGTGATAGTGTGACGATGTGACCTCATAGACACTGGACTCCAAATTATACACACTGAGAAAGGACAGGTGTGGCAGCTGGGTGGCTGGGTGGAGGGCTGCTGTCGGGTGAGCCGGCTTGGGCAGGAGTGGGTAGGGCCTCCCAGCTGTGCACAAAGGCCCTGGGGCTTCAGGGACAGTGGGCTGTCCCAGGAAGTGCAAGTGGAGGAGAAGGAGGAATTTTAGGTGAGAGTGCATCGAGGCTTGCCTGTCAGCAGCGGGGGAGAGTTTGATCTTCATTCCACAGGCAGTGGGAGGCTATCCAGGGTTTCAAACAGAAAAAGAGACTTGGGGTGCATCTTCGGAGTTCCTGTGGGGAAGGCTGAGCTTGGGGGAGTCTGCTGTGGCCAGGTGAAGGGCGGGGCGTGAGCTCTGCCGGGCTGACCGGATGCCCCTGTCTACAGGCCCTACTTTACCTACTGGCTGACCTTTGTCCACATCATCATCACCTTGCTGGTGATCTGCACCTACGGCATTGCACCTGTGGGCTTTGCCCAGCATGTCACCACCCAGCTGGTGAGTAGGGCCCTCCCAAGAAGCTTCAGCACAGTTGGCACCAAGTATTTCCCACCACAACACCCTGGCCCAAGCTGGAGGTGCCTGAGGCTCACAGAGCCTGAGTCTTTCCTGGAGGCCCAATTCTGGGGATGCCATCCAGTACCCCCTCTTCTCTCACACCCCGGAGCTCTGGCTCCTCTGATGCCTTCAACTGCCTCCTTCATAGGTGCTGAAGAACAGAGGTGTGTATGAGAGCGTGAAATACATCCAGCAGGAAAACTTCTGGATCGGCCCCAGCTCAGTAAGGCCCAGGATGCCAGGGAGCTCTGCCTCCTGTCACTCCACCCCGGGCAGATAGGCAGTTGGGGGAGGCTCCCCAGTGGATGCAGGGTGCCCCTGCCCTTCTGAGTACAGAGTGCTGGCTCACCAGCCCCTTCCCCAACTTCAGATTGACCTGATCCACCTGGGAGCAAAGTTCTCACCCTGCATCCGGAAAGACCAGCAAATCGAGCAGCTGGCGCGGAGGGAGCGGGACATTGAGCGGAGCTCTGGCTGCTGTGTGCAGAATGACCGTTCGGGCTGCATCCAGACCCAGAAGAAGGACTGCTCGGTGGGTCCGGCCCCCGGAGCTGCCAGCCCCTCCACAGTCCCATCACGTCACTTCTTCCCTCTCTGGCCCAACGGGCAAGCCCAAAGGCGGCCTTGGAGAGTTAGACAGTGGTTCCCAGGAAGCACCTGAGCCCTGGGGAGATGGGAATAGCCCTTGCCCTGGATGGTTCCCTGCCCACACCATCTGAATGACATTGCCCTGGCATGACCTGACCTCCTCTCCACGCTCTAGGAGACCTTGGCCACCTTCGTGAAGTGGCAGAATGATACTGGGACCTCCTATAAGTCTGACCTGAGCCAGAAGCAGCCATTGGCGGTTGTGTGCCACCAAGACCCCAGGTACAGCCTAGAGACGCCTATGGGACCCTGAGTGGCACCCAGCTGTTGGAGCTGCCCTCTGGGACACCCGTGGGTGGGTGTGGCAGGCTGGGCTGTTCCCGAGCTTCATTTTGCCTAATCTAACCACTGCTTCCAGGACCTGTGAAGAGCCAGCCTCTAGTGGGGCCCACATCTGGCCTGATGACATCACCAAGTGGCCGGTGAGTGAGGGACAGAAGGCTGTGGGATGAGGTGGGGACAGCAGCTTCCTGTCACTGAGGCCCTCTGCCATCGGTACCCTCTCTTAGATCTGCACAGAGCAGGCCCAGAGCAATCACACGGGCTTGTTACACATGGACTGTAAGATCAAAGGCCGGCCCTGCTGCATCGGGACCAAGGGCAGGTGAGCCAGCCTTCCTCCCCCCAGCCCCTGGTGGACCTCTGCAACTGTCTTCTGTTCTCTGCTCTCGGGTGATGGGGGAGGCAGGGGTGGAGGGGTCGATGAGATAGAAAGGGAGCTTGTTCCATCCTGCCTGCCATGGCCATGGGCTCTAGCCTAAGTGGGCAGGCGCCCTTTAGAATGCTGATGCCGTCTGCTTCCTGTCCACAGCTGCGAGATCACCACTCGGGAGTATTGTGAGTTCATGCATGGCTATTTCCACGAGGAGGCAACGCTCTGTTCCCAGGTAGGCGAAGGCTGTGGGGATCCTTCCTGTTTGGAATCCTCGGACTCAGCCTGCCTCCCAGGGTAACACTAACGGCCCCGTGTCTCCCACCCAGGTGCACTGCTTAGACAAGGTGTGCGGGCTCCTGCCTTTCCTCAACCCTGAGATCCCCGACCAGTTCTACCGGATCTGGCTATCTCTGTTTCTGCATGCTGGGTAAGAGCTGCCTTGCTGCCCCATGCCCAGACTCCTGTGTCTTCCCACCTAGATGCTGGAGTAGGGCTTCTGGACCAAGCTCGCTGCCAGCGCTGACCACACCTGTGGTGTGCCCCGCTGGCAGCCGTGAGCACAAGGCTAACGGTGCCCGTGTCCCCCACTTCCCCAGCATAGTGCACTGCCTTGTATCTGTGGTCTTCCAAATGACCATCCTGAGGGACCTAGAGAAGCTGGCCGGCTGGCACCGCATCTCCATCATCTTCATCCTTAGCGGCATCACAGGCAACCTGGCCAGCGCCATCTTCCTCCCCTATCGGGCAGAGGTAGGGACTTGAGTGACAAGGGCAAAGAGGGTGGGATCAGCCTTTCCTTTTGGGCTTAAAGCATTGTGCCATGTGGGGAAGACCAGACCTGCTGCTCCTTGCTCTAGTCCCACTCCAGGCTCTGTAGCAAGGGCACTGAGCCCATTGCGTCAGGCTCACCTACAGATGGGCAGCTAAGCTGGGACTTACTGATTGGTTCCTTAGTTCTTGGCAGGAGGAAACAAGGTGACTTCTTGAGTCATCAGGGATCCCCACACCTTGCTCAGTGAAACCCTGCATGTAGCTGTTCTCCTCCCTCAGGGGGAGAGGTCTTTTGCTCCATTCACCTTGAGTCTGTCGCTCTTTCTGGTCTGTGTGCTCTCCACTGCCTGTGGGGAGCAGGCTGACTTGTGCTGAGCACAGGGGCACCACACCAAGGTTAGCGGCAAGAATGAACAAGCCTAGCAGCTCCGGCCGCATCCGCATGAGTGGCAGATGTCCCCCACGGCTGGTACCTGGTATCCAGGGTCAACATGCCACATCTCTCCTCCCCAACCCCAGGTGGGCCCAGCCGGGTCCCAGTTCGGCCTTCTTGCCTGCCTCTTCGTGGAGCTTTTCCAGAGCTGGCAGCTGCTGGAGCGCCCGTGGAAGGCTTTCTTCAACCTGTCGGCCATTGTGCTTTTCCTCTTCATCTGTGGCCTCCTACCCTGGATAGACAACATTGCCCACATCTTCGGTTTCCTCAGTGGTATGCTGCTGGCCTTCGCCTTCCTGCCCTACATCACCTTCGGCACCAGTGACAAGTACCGCAAGCGAGCTCTCATCCTGGTGTCGCTTCTAGTCTTTGCTGGGCTCTTTGCCTCCCTGGTGCTCTGGCTGTATATCTACCCCATCAACTGGCCCTGGATTGAGTACCTCACCTGCTTCCCCTTCACCAGTCGATTCTGTGAGAAGTATGAGCTGGACCAGGTGCTACACTAACTAGGCAGAGATTCTGTCTGCCCCGGGCCGTGTGTCTATAGAGACTGGACAGATGGGCCCTGAGCCCAGCAGCTCACTCCACAGACAAGGCTGACTCCATATGAGACAGGTAAAAAGGCAGGTTCCTTGGGAGGTGAGACCTCCCCTTCTCAGGCCTGAATGTTCCTGACCCAAGTTTAGGGGACATGCAGGACACCTGCTTCTCCGAGGCTCGGGTCCCCTGCTCTGCCTGCCTCTCTTGCACTATTGGGACGATAACTTTTCTTCTCAGGGCTCAGGCCTGTGCAGGTGCCGTCTTCCTGTTGTCACTGTGACTGTGACCTCACCAGACACACAGCTGCTCCCTCAGTTGTCCCCAGGGTTGAGGTCCCACCATGCTGCTATGACCCTTTTTCAAAAACTGTTTTTCCTCTTCTCCCTGTCCTACAAGTCCTTCCTACATTTGTTCATGGATTCATGAGCCCGCTCCCAAGGCTCCTGGACATAGCATTGTGGGAAACATTGGCCGCTGTCTAGGGGCAATGACAAGCAAGGAGAGATGGTTAAGCAGGGATGTTAAGGGCTTTTGTTAAGCGAAGAAGCCAGATCTCCTTCACCACCAGCTCAGCCCTAGCTCCAGCCCGTGTGTCTGGTCCCACAGGTTGCTCTGGTGCCGGATGTCCCTACCATCTCTGCCTGGCTCCTGTGTGGCCCTGGGCGGAGCCTCCTTGAGGACTAGATCCCAGGGGGTGTTTGGGATTCAGCCAGGCCTGGTGTTTTGTTTCTTTTCCAACTTATATTATGGTCCTAATTTTTTTTAAAGTAACGCTAACTTTGTATGGATGATGTCTCAAGTTTATTAAATGGCATTCTCTTTCAAAATACTGACTTTCGCCTTAGACCTCCGGGAGAATGATAGCTAGAACTTGGGGCTAGCAAGAAGGGCCACTTCCTGTCCTTGTAGAAGACCCCCGCTCACAACTGCCATCACTCCAGGGAATCCAGTGCTCTCCTCTGACCCCCGTGAGCACCCCTTCACACAGACACACATGCATGCAGCCAGGTGGTGGCACGCAGCTTTAAGCCCAGCACTCAGGAGGCGGAAGCACGTGGATCTCTGAGTTTGAGACCAGCCTGGTCTACAGGGTAAGTGAGCTACGCAAAGAAACCCTATCCAAACAAACACACTCTCAGGGACTGGAGAGATTAAACACACCGCCTGCTCTCAGAGCACCTGGGTCCAGTTCCTAGCGCTCATGTGACAGCTCACACCACCTGCAGTCACAGCTCCAGGGACCCAGCTCCATCTGGCCTCCACAGGCACCTGCATGTGTTCTGGTACACAGATATGGCTTCCAGCTGAGAGACCTGCCAGCCTCTGCCTCCCAAGCACTGGAATGAAGGGCGTGCGCAGCCAGCGACTGGCCAAAAAAAGAAAAAAAAATTTTCCTAATATATTTTTTTTAAGATTTATTTATTTATTATTTACTCAGTAGCCTGCACACCAGAAGAGGGCTCCAGATCTCATTATAGATGTTTGTGAGCCACCATGTGGTTGCTGGGAATTGAACTCAGGACCTTTGGAAGAACAGTCAACGCTATTAAACTGAGCCATCTCTCAACCCCTTTTTTCTTAATTTAAGTAGAAAAAACTTGTGGGTGTGACGGCAGACTGGAAAACCTGGGATTTCTCTGGTGTTTAGTTGAACCAGGAACCAGATTGAGATGAGATCACAGCAAGGCCCCCAAGGACCAGGGGACTGGGTTACAGGTAGGGCCAGAAGCTCTCAACCCCGGCTGCTCTGCCTTTGTTCCAGGGAGTCAGAGGCTGACCGTCAGCAGGAATGGCCTATTCCGCCAGAGGTGGTCCTTCGGGGGGGGGGGAGGTCAGGTGTTCGTTTGCTCTGTCAGCTTGCTGCAGTCAGCTCACTCAGAAGACCCGCCACACACCCACAAACCACAGCCACGGGGCATAGCTGCTTTATTAGTGGGCAGAGGTGCCAGGGCTGGTGGGGGGGATCAGACTAGAAGGGGAGGGGCCTTGGGAGGCAGGTGGGCTGCCACACTGGTGCTCAGGCGCAGTGAGGCGTGGCCCTGTGGCCCTCCAGCAGATCTTTCCCCCAAGGTTGCCACCGTTCATGGTCCCTCCTCTGCAAGAGGTCCTCTGGGGGCAGACAGCAGCCTGCGCTAGAGTGAAGCCACCTCCTGGCCTCTTACTGACCCTTACCCCTCTGCTCTAGTTGGGAACTGCTCTCTCCCTTCACGCTAGCCAGCTCTGCTTGGGTGGGTACCAGGCAGAAAAGGGAGTGGCATGGGAGTTGGGCAGGAGCTCCCCTGCCCCAGCCTGCTGCTCCGACCTTCTCCACGGCCAAGTAGGCAGCTCCGGTCAGCAGCCACTGTTCCTACGCAGGAAGGCGTGGCACCGCAAGGAACACTGTAGCTCGGTGAAGGCGAGGGAGCCCACGGTGACGGCACACGGGCCCACAGCCTGGAAGCCAAATTTCTCGTAGAAGGGCACCAGTGCGTCCTCGCACATGAGCACAGCCCGGCGCACAGCCGGCTGACTGCCCAGGTGTTGAAGGTATCGCCACAGCAGGACAGGGCCTTTGCCCTGCTGCCGGAAGGTGCAGTGCACCGCCAGGACGTGGAGGTGGGCCGTGCGGCCTCCAGGCCTGTGCTGCGTCAGCGACTCCTGGGGTGGTGGCAAGGGACAGATGTCCGGGTTATTTCTGCTGATACCTGTTCCCCCAAATCCAACCCAGACCACAAGGAAGGGAGGGTGTCCTGAGTACCAGGAGTACCGACCCTTTAGAACTACTGTTTCACAGGGGTCACCTAAGCCCATCAGAAAACACAGCTACTGAATTGAGGTAGCAATGAAATCATTTTACAGTTGGCCATCGCCACCATGTGAGGAGCCGCATTAAGGGTCGCAGTGTTGGGAAGGTTGGAAACCACTGCTCTGGGAGGCTGGGCAGAGGGGGGCTTGGGAGGGGTCGTGCTGCTGCTTGGACTCACTCCCTGCTTCTGGAGGAGAATTCCGCCTCTGAGGACTCAGCCTGCCCTCACCTGAGTAAGTCTCTCCTGGTCCCAAAGTGAGCCGATGATGAAGGCCACAAGGCGGCCCTCCTCAAACCAGCCCAGCGACAGCTCTGGACACAGGGTTAGGAAATGCCGGATCTCATCCAGGTGGAGGGGACAGGTGCCCGAGACGGAGATGAAGGCTGCGGCAGAAGGCAAGGGTGAATGATGGCTGTGCCACTTGCCCATCGTGTACAGAGGTGGCCACTCAGATGACCTCCCCCCAACCGCTCTAGAGAAACGTGTGACTCTGGGCTGTTGCCTCCTGCTCTAGAGTAACCACCCCCCACGTGTGTATGTGTGTGTGTGTGTGTGGTCTCAAATTTAACCCCCAAAGGCAGGAGCCAGCCCAGAGCCGCTCACCTTCGCGCTCGATCTCAAACACACTGACGGCGTCCTCGGGGACCAGGCAGCGGAACTCACTGGCAGGGAGTGTGTGGCGACGCTGGCAGCCCAGGAGATCTGAGGTCCCAGGTGGCAGCTTCAGGGCCTCGGGTTTCAGGGAGCGCAGGCCCATGATGGACGTGTGGTCACTGAACCCTCCCTGGGATTCCCCAGCTTCAGAAGCACCTGTCACAGAAGAGACAAGAATGCCAGTCAGCCATGGGGTGTGTGTGGCAAGGGGTAGAGCCAGTCCCTAGGTTCTTGGGCCTCAAGGCAGATTCTGGGAACTTGCCCTGTTTGTGTTATCTCCTCATTTTCACTCAAAAGCTAGAGGTCACTTAGAGCAATTGTTCAGAGCCCCAGGGGTCTGAGCCTTGGAAGACTGGACAGCACAGGAGGACAGTAGAGCAAGGGGGCATGACTCTCCAGCCTCTTCTACCTCGTCTGTGGGCAGGCTCCCGGGCCTCCCACACTGCCAGTCACATGGTTTGTCTGACCCACAGGGAGGCTTCTTGTCTTCTGAGTAAGAGAATAGAGACAGGTTTTTGGTTGGTTGGTTTTGTTTTGTTTTGTTTTTCGAGACAGGTTTCTCTGTGCAGGCTTGACTCTCTTGGACTCACTGTGTAGACCAGGCTGGCCTCAAATTTACAGCAATCCACCTGCCTCTGCCTCCCAGAGTGCTGGGATCACAGGTGTGTGCCACCACGCCCAGCTTGCCAGGAGGCTTTTTGTTGTTGCTGTTTTGTTTTTGTTTTTTTAAGGGAAACACACATGTCTGTGTATCTGTGTGTACACAGAGGCCAGAGGTGTTGGATCTCCTGGAACTGGAGCTAAGGTACCTGTGAGCTGCCCAGAGTGGGTGCTGGGAACTGAACTCACATCCGAAGGAGAGTAATACCCGCTGTTAATCTCTGAGCATCTATCTTCCCAAGGCTAGGAGCTTTTCAGGTCAGCTCAGGCTGTAGTCCAGGAGAAAAATCTCTTTAATCAATGTGAGCCTGAGCCCCACGCTCTCCTGGATGACGTCAGACTACGTCATGCTCTGGAGATGGGGGATAAGATAGTTAAAGAGCCTAAGACTGGAGAGTCTGAGGTGGGGGTCAGGTATGGAGGACACCCAGGAAAGAATGCCTGTTAGTCAGCTTGGGCTCGTAGGACACGCCCATGTGATACCCTTTCTTATGATACCCCTACGAAGTGGTGGCTCCACCCCCTTCAAAAGCACTGGGAGTGCAGAGAGATGGCTCAGCGGGTAAAGGGACTTGCTGCCAAGCCTGCTGACCTGCATCTGACTCCAGGAACCCACATGCCAGAGGGAGAGAACTGACTCCCACAAGTTGTCTTCTGACTCCCACACGCGTGCGCCCACACATGCACATAAAATGGTAATAAAATGGAATGGAGATTTTTTCTAATGGACAATGGAGCTAGCTCAAGCACGAGGACCTAAGCATAATCCTGGAAACATGAAGAACCCAGTGCAGTGACCATCGCCCGCATTTGTGAAGCGAGCACTGCAGAGGCAGGGATGGATGGGCAAATCCCCGGGGCCCGCTGGCGCCCTCAGCCAACCCAGCCTGCTCTCAGACCAGTGAGAGACCTTATCCCAAAAGATGAAGCGGACAGTTTCTGCAGTTCCCGAGGAACGACACCCAAAGCTCACCTCCGGCCTCCACTCACATGTGTGCGCATACACACATACATACATACACACACACATATACACATACCACATACATACACATATACAAACACAATGGGACCCACTTAGGACCATACATACATACATATATACACATATACATACACTACATACATACATTACACATACATACACATATGTACAAATACACAAAGAACCTTGATGGGACCCACTTAACCACCATACACGCACACACATACACATACATGCACCACATATACATATAGATACATTCATTAATACACACACACAAATAATCTTGATGAACCCACTTACCACCATACATAGATACATACATACACACACATACATACATACACGCACACAAAGAACCTTGATGGGACCCACTTACCGCCATACATACACACAGACCCATGATGAGACGCACTTACCAGACAGAACCGTAAGAAGGCGTCAGGTGTGGAGTCCCCACCACAGAGCCAGTCACCCTGGGGACCGTCACGGGCGCAGAAACCAGGGGACCCTGAGACTCCTGTCTGCAAGGCTGAAGCGCATATATCCCCCTGGCAGCGTGGGATGCGCTCAGAGGTCTAATCCCCCTGGCCCTGCCTCCCGTGTTACAGCAGGCAGTGTGACGCCAGCAGGACTTGGCAGTCAGGTCCTGGCCCCATCCTGCTGAGGGCAGCTGGCGTCAGCAGTGACACTCAGTAGTGCCACAGCGGACGCAGAAAGAATTACTCAGGCCCTAGGCCGCAGGAAGAGCTAAGACGGGAGGTGGGGAGGGCCTGACTGTAATCCCTGCTCTGTCCCCAGCTGTCTGGGGACCAGCCACCCATGCCTCTAAAGCCGGGGGAAAGACCTTAGGAACATGGCAGCCGTGTATATGTATGTTATGTTTAACATTTTCTTAAACTCCGAAGATCTCTGACCGCCATCTCAGCTCTAACCACCCCACCTCTGGGACCTTCAGCACCTGCAATCTCTGTCCCTCACACAACTTTGTTTCTCCCTTTTCTTCCCACTCATACCTCATCCTGACTCCCTCAGCTCTTCTCTGGCCGACCTGCCCTTCCTTTTACCACCTGCCGCCCTGCTCCACCAGGATAGTGTAGCTCTTTGTATCCTGTCCACTCAAGGTTCTGAGAGGGTGGTGCATTCCCTGGAGCCACCAGCAGAGGGTACCCCTGCTAGAACCAACGATCCTCGCAAGGGACTGCAGTCCCAACCTCCACACACACAGCATCATGCACACATTTGGCTATCTGTGGGGTCCTCTTCCCCCAGAGACCCTCTCTGTTGTCTGATGCTCCACAGGCTCCTGTTGTTGCCTCAACTGTCTGCTCCCCGGACACTTGCATTTTTCTCCTGAAGGAGACCCTCAACTGACTTATCATGGTTGGCCAGAAAGCCCTCCTTAGACTTAGCCTTTGAGCTAGTGGGGGAACACGGCCAGGACCTCAGCTAAGCACCCATCCTGCCAACATCCGGGGGTTCCCATGGCATCTGTGTTCCATCTTAAGTTGCTGGCTCCATTGCACCCTCTGGTGTCCATTTGCAACCATCTGTTGGTGCCCACAGTTTTATGGTGAGTCTGCATCCCTTTTCACTGACCATCCTTGTGGCCAGCTACTTTCTGGAAAACACTTCTAAAAACGGTGACTCTGGGAACAGGAAAGAAAGGGCAATTATTAGACATGGCTAACCTGAGGAATCCCATCTTGCACCAGGCAGGAGAGGGACATGAAGGGGAGGGAAGGTGATGGCTAGGGTCTCTGCTGACCAATAGGAAGAAAACACACCACTGAGGTGGGGGCTGGGCTCAGCTGGTAGAATGCTTTCCTTACCCAGCACTGTATATACTAGGTGTGGTATAAAAGGAACTTATATTTGCCTGGTTCAGTTGTATTTGAGGTTTGCTGCTTCCATCTGCTAGCCTAGGCCTAGTTCTGGAAGCTTCTAGCCTCTGTACAATCTAACCTAGGCCTAGAACGTTTTCAGCCTCTGAGAGTTATTGCTTAACAAGCTCACCCTTTCTTGTTCTTACTGAGCTCTGGGCCGGCTGGTTCAACTCAGCTGTTTTAGCTCAAACTCCTCTCCCAGCTGACTTGTTTAATCCGGCTCTTCTCTAGGGCCCTGAATTGCTCTGCTTGGCCTCAAACCAACTCCAGCAATCTTTTCTAATCTTCTGGCTCCTTTTCATTCTGTGGCTCATTCAGTTTTTATGTGAGTTCTCTCTCTGCAACCTGTCTTCCCATTCCTGTCTGGCAAAACTGCCTCCTCGCCCTCTCTGCACTGCCCCTTAAGTAGTTTCCCTTTTCTCTTTCTTCTCGAGAGTTAGCCTAACTCTGTTCTGTCAAGTCTTTCTCTCATCACTGTTTCTGCCACTCAATTAGACATCACTTTCAAACATGGGTGTTTTCTTCTACAAACTAACTTCACTTTCATTGTTTGGGATTAAAGGCATTTACCACCACTCCTGGGCCTAAGCTTTTCTATACCTGATACCAGGCTGGCCTTGAACTCAGATCTGCTTGCCTCTGTCTCCTGGATCAAAGGCATGTTTGTATTCACAAAGAAGGTCTTTAGATGTGATCTCTTGCCAGAACAGCCATGTTCTTAATTAAAATTCCTCTACAGTGTGGTAGCACAGGTCTTCGATCCCAGCACACAGGAGGAGGAAGCAGGATCAGGAGTTCAAGGCCATCCTCAGCTACATAGTGAGTTTAAGGGCAGCCTCAGTCACAGCAGATGCTGTCAGACACAGGAAGGAGAAGACAGAGAGACGGAGAATGAGAAATGAGAAAGCTTCCTAGGTTGATGGGAATGTTAGCATTCCTTTTAAAATGATGACACACACACACAAGTATTATATGAAAGAGATTTATTGGCTGGAGGTGGAGAGAGGGGGAGGAGAGAGAGACATGATGGGAGGGGCAGGAAAGAAAGCGAGACAGAAGGAGAGAGAGAGAGGGAGGAGAGTAAGAGAGAAAGTGGCGGGTTGGTTCTTTTACAGCTTGTGCGTGCCACATACCTGGCGGGCGACACATGATGACATCATAGGTTACCGGGCAACCAATAGCCTAGAGCTAACAATGGGTACAATGATCAAAGGTCAGGATGCCCTGAAATGGTAGCTCGAGCCCTCAGTATCAACAGGGAGGGTCTTCATTTCTAGTCCCAGCCATGTGGAATGAGATGTCGCTAAGACCCTTCAGAATACCCAAGCAACTCCCAACTCTAGGGGCTCCTCCTCCCTAGAGACTATGACTACATTGGCCTGACTGACCTAAGCTTTTGTATAGGACTGCCAAATATATATATATCTCTTTTAAATTTGGGATAAAAAATTTATGCGTATGAGTACATTTCATGCATGTATGTAAGTGCCACACATGCCTGGTGCCCTCAGAGGCCAGAGGCCAGAAGGTGCCCTCAGATTCCCTGGGAGTGGAGCTGCAGGCAGCTGTGAACCTCATCGAGGGTCCTGGGAACTGAACCCAGGCCTCTGTGCTGTTAATTAGTAAAGCCATCTTTAGATGGTTTCTCCTTCTCTTTTCTTTCTTTCTTTCTTTCTTTCTTTCTTTCTTTCTTTCTTTCTTTCTTT